AGACCTTGGCCATAACTAAATGCAATCTTAGGTTTATCTGCTTCAGCCATTTTCGCTTGATGAAAACCCGACTTTAAGTCTAGAGTTGAAAACCACCTGGCTCCACTTATGGCATCAAGAGTATCATCAATTTTTGGCAGCAGGTATGAGTCCTTTTCAGTTATACTATTAAGAATCCTCAAGTCCACACAGCAACGTTAAGTCTCATCCTTCTTCTTGACTAACACGACGGGAACTGACCAGGGACTATCTGATTTCTCGACTATCCCTTCCTTAATTGGGCCATCCATGACCTTTTCCATCTCTTGTCACTTTGCTGGGGCTATTCTCCTTGGAGGAATCTTTATTGGACGGTGATTGCCTGTGTTTATTCTGTGCTCTATAAGGTCTGTGCAGCCGAGGTCATGATCTCCTTTTGAAAAGACGTCTGCATATGTCGCCAAGAGTTCTCTAACCTGAAGAGCCTGTGATGATGACAAATGGACTATGCTCTTCTTATAGAGGTCAGTTAAATGTTCTGGGAGTGGATGTCCTTTCTTTATGGTTGTATTTCTTGCCTTAACATTGACTGGCTCTAGCTCTTAAGTGTCTGCTCACATTTAGAGAAATTAGCCACTGTTATGGGTACTACTTGATGACCTGCCACAAGTGACCTTCCAATCTTCACACCCGCTGGCCTGGATGGGTCTTCCACTGCTTCCACAAGCATCGGGCTTCCTTGGGGATGTTTTTTATTTTACCCCAAATTATCTTCTCTGACATAGGGGTATTGTAGTTGACTTAAGTGCTGTGACATGCAAATCAACAGATGCGCAACACTTACTGGAAATTGGCCTGATCCCAAACGTCATTTTATCAAAGTTAACTACACACTTCCTTGGTAGTAAGTAGTCCAACCCTTATATGCATTGGTCTTCAATGTCAGTCAAGTATACTTTGTGTCTGTCCTTCATGTCCTAGCTAAATAGTTACCCACACTGGTCCCCAAAACCTTGCATAATATCCTGTCACACCACAGAGCTTCTGTATGGCTTCTGGTACTCCTTTGTGATCTAGCATCTTGATACTCACAAGAATTTGCTTAGATGCAGAATATGTGACAAAGTTGCACGTTTGGCCATCCACCTTTCCTGTCATGTAGACACTATGTGTACTTGCCATTTTACACTTAGCTGTTGAGACTTTCATAATGGGGGTTAGTGGGCTTCCCTCAGCACCAACC